AAGACCTTCCACTTGGCTAGGTTGGTGCCCCTACCACTTGAAATATATACTCTGGCTCTTACTTTAATTATTTTTTAGGTACATTTTTGCCCAGGGCCAACCTTGGACCACAATCCTCCTGCTTGTGCCTCCTGTGTAGCAGGGACAAACCACCACACCTGGCTTGGTTTTTGTGATGGGCGTCTTGCTAATAATTCCCTGCACTGCCCTTGAACCTTAATCCTCCCAATATCTACCTCTCAAGCATCTGGAATTTCAAGTATGCACCACCACACCTGGCCCTCAAAGAGGATGATTTCTTTAAGAAAGAAAACAACTAAAAGCTTCTTTCTTGATAAATACTAACTCTGCAGAGATGCTTTCACATTTCTAGTCCACCAATCTAGCCTTCCCTGGGCCTGGCAGGGACAGAACCTCCATCCCCTGTGCAAACCACAAAACAAGGCCACCTGCCAAACTTCACTGGATGGCATGGGGGGAGGAGTGGTCGGATGGCCCAGAGTGAGGCCTGGCCCACATAAGTATAGAGACAGGTGGAAGGGGTGAAAGCGAGGAGCAGAAACGCAGCTGACAACTTCACCTTCCTGCTGAAATGAGTCCAACCTTGTGTCCAAAATATACTAAGATAGGAGAAATGGGTGAGGGAGGGGAGGAGGGAGGAAGGGAGAAGGAAAACTGAAAGGAAGGAAGGAGGGAAGGAAGAAATAAGGGAAAGGAGACAAGGATAGAGGGAGAGAGGAAGGGTGAAGGGAGGGAATAGGGGAGGGAGAACAGAGGAGAGAAAATTTATTCAGCATTCTGGACTGAATGTCCTGCTAAAGCTGGACAAATGACAAGCATATGCTTGAATCTCATGCAGAACAAAAAGCAGAAGACTCAATTTTGTTCCTGTCCTCTAGCGACCTGTCAGAAAAGATCTCTCACGAACTAGGCAGGAGCCTTCCTTCTCCTGGGTATGAGCTGCAGAGTGAAAGGCATCTGTGTGCCTGTGCATGCATGCATGCGTGCGCACACACACGTGCACTAGTGACTACATACACATGCGTGCATGCACACACACACACACACACACACACACACACACACACACACACACACACACACACACAGGGCAGATTACATGCACAACTCCCAGACATCAAGTCTAATTATTAGTGGATGGACAGGAAAAAGATGTCAAATTAACACATATTAGAAATCCTTCTAGTTAATGAAGCCATCAGCAATTTCAATTTTAGTTTCATTTGTTAGCTTTAGAAAAAAAAAAGTACACTGATAAAAAAAAAGAAATGGAAGATAAAAAAGAGCACTTAGCAGGTTACCTCTCAGACCTCTACGTACATTTTTTTCCTCTTCATCCTACATTTGTAAACAAATCTGATTGGAAATAAAACTACTCCAAATATTTGCCTTCCAGCTTCTTTATTCTAAGGTTTATAAAAAACGTTGAAGTTGCTTTCTTTTTTTTTTTCCTTCCAGGATTGAGCTCATTCAGTGCACTGCCAGGGAGCACCCTGCCGACAAGGGGAGAAAGAAGGCTTGGAACACAGTGCCTTGGTCCCTCTTCTGGTTGCTGGAGCCATTTCAACTTAGAAGCAGTTTTACATAACCCTCCTGGCAACACTGAGCCAAGCCACCTGCTGCAGATGACTGGTTATCGCCCAGCCTCACTATTTGCTACACAGAGCACCAGAGAACAGCGAGGTAGTCTCTGACACATCTTATTCCAGCTCCTTCCTTGCACACCTGAGACCAAACTCCCAAGAGACTTCCATAGAGACCACCCAGCACTAAGTACCAATGGGTCCTGCCTGTAACCCTAATCCCTCAGAAGGTTGAGATCTGAGGTTCAAAACCACCCAGAGCAGGAAAATCTATGAGACACTTAGGTCCAATTAACCAACAAAAAGCCAGAAGTGGAGCAGTGGCTCAAGTGGTAGAGTGCTAACCTTGAGTGGGAAAGCTAAGGACAGCACCAGTACTGATTTCAAGCCCCAGTACTGGCGCGCGCACACACACACACACACACACACACATACACACACACACAGTCCAGCTATCTAGTAGCAGATAGGGGGTCAAAATTGAGAATACAGTTCTACCAGCCCACATTCTTCACTTAATTATCCAATAAGTATGCTCCCCAATGAAGTAGAAATCACTCCTGCTCCTAGAGGGGGTAGGACTTCTAGGACTGATTGACAAGATGGAATTTAAAAGTAAAGCCAACTGTCAAGATTCTGCCTGAAATCTTCAGGCCACCTAGCATGCAAGATTGTGTGGTGTTGTTTGTATGCTTGTCTGTCTTCTCAAAGGGCTGGGTTCTACACCAGAGTTGTGGTATTACTAATCTTCTTGATGTCTCCTCCTAGTAGCACAACATAGTTTTAATCCATAATGGACACTAAGTACAAAATTTTTAAAAAAATGTGTCCAAAACACCAGGCAATGCCAAGATAGCAAAGACGCTCTACATACAGATTGAGAATGAAAATAATTGCCTGGATTTTGTGAAATAAAAAAGTAGGGAGGATAGCTGCCCGGGTATGGAGAATAGCCGGGGAGAAAGTTCCAGACCAATGCACGTTTTTCTGGAACCCAGTCATTCAGGCACTCTGCTCTTCTTAGGACATTTTGTTAACTTTATTAGAAGTTCCTCACACCTCTCATCAATGATACTGGCATAGGTGCAATCCCTTTGGAAAAGCTTAATCAGCCCTAATTGAATCATAATACCAACCCCAATTAACTAGACTTCTAGAAAGTTGTCAACACCTTTTTAAGGCAACTTGGGATTCAATTCCTCTATAGCTTTTGCAGGGTAGTAAGCATGCAAATTCTAAAAGCCTGAAATTCTACCAGCAACACCAGAATAAAGACTGTCTCTTCATTAGAGCTTTCATCCCATTGGCTTTTTATTTCTCTATATACAGAAATAAAAAACAGATAGGGAAAAAACAAATTGTTTAAATAGGGATACAGGTGGACCCATTGCAACAATGAGATGTACAAGTCGTTACATCAAAAAACAAACTTTACAACTTTGGTGGGGAGGTGGAGAGAATGGGGGGGGGGGGAGGGAATGGGAAGGGATAGGAAGGGGAAACAAAGGAGGAGGCAACAATGTTTGATAAGAAATGTACTCATTATCTTGCCCATGTAATTGTAACTCCTCTGTACGGTATTTTCACAATAAAAAAATAATAATAATAAACAGAACTTCAAACACAAGCATAGAACTCCAAGGTTTAAAAATCTTGTTTCTGTGATAGTTTCACAAAGAAGCAAACTGGTTGCCAGCTCATCACCCTTTAGCAGAATTCCCATATCAGAAAAGTGTTACCATGTTCCTGGAATCGAGACTCTTCCCTGACAGTCCAGTGTCAAACCTCTGAATTCTCTTCAGATCTCCTCACTCAAACAACACAATGTCTGATGTGACCTCCAAAATGTCTATAGTGGTCTGCTACCAATTATCATTGGCTATGAAACCTGAGGCCTCGTTTGCAGAGTAGATTTGTTTTGCACTGAATAAGTAAAAATACCACTTTTAAATATACTACCATAGCTTTATAATACACCTGCCAGTAGAGTACCCAGGCTTCCCAACTGGTGTAGGCTTACTCATTTTCCCAGAGACAGATGTCAGGTAGCAAGCAGGCATTTCTAACCCCAACCCCATTCTAGAAGGAGAAAAGAGCCTCAGAGAGTTGAACTAAGTAAATCAGTTGTGAAACGGAAATAGAAATTAAATTCCAAGATGACCTTGACAAAAATCAAGCCAGAAAAGAAAGCATAAATTGCTAGTGACACTTATTTAACCCAGCATAGCTCCAGGAAAAAAATAGTCTGAATGGCTTCACATACACACACACACACACACACACACACACACACACACACACACACACACACACATCCCACTACCGTCAAATCTTGAATATTACTCTACATATGCCATTACCTTGGCAAATTTCTCGTGTAAGCTTGCTGCTTATGGTATAGCCATATGTTATGTAGCTGTATCTAGGCTCTGCTTCGTTTTCCTGCATGAAATACTAATATGGCTATTCGTCTCATGAAATTACACATTCTGATACACACGTGCTCTTAATTTTTTGCATTTGATTGAAAAATATGCTTTAAAATATTTACCTCCATCAAAACCACCCCAGCAATCTGTAGTCAAGTTGGGTCAACATTGAGACCACAAATGTGGCTCACATCCAGTGCCTTTAACTTAATTGTTCCAAACCATCTTCCCCAATCAAGTGGTATCAACACTGAGCTCACAGCAGCTTCTCACTCCCAGGACCATAAGACTTTAATAATAGAGTGACACAGAGGAAAAGAGAATGACCGAAACCTTCTTGTTCTTTGGAACAACTTCTCCCTTCTTCCCTCACTGCCTGGAGTCCCCTGCCACTCCCATTCATTTGATGCCACTGGAATTTCAATGCCCACCAAATCTGGACGTTGTCATGCACAGAAAAAAAATAAAAACTGGAAGAAAACCACTGTAAAGCCTGATGACATATTAACCTCCCCAGCACAGGAAAATCCAAAATGCTATCCACACAAGAAAATAACAAAGTGTGCAGCATATACATTTGACAAAATAGCCAGCCCAAGGCTCTCCCAAACCTGATGGAAGAGGATATTGTTTGATACTGTTTTATAAATAGGCTTTGGTCTGGAAGCGAAACTGTTATTCCTGTCTAGCCCATCACTCCAATTTCCAAACTAAATTCTCTGTAGCTGAAATGACGATGAACCTGAAAGCTTCTTGGGACTATACACTTTGAACATAGACAACAGAAAAGAAGGCTTACTGCATTTAAATAATCCATTTTCTTGTCTATCTGCTCCTCCAGGCAGGATGCTTAGGACTCCCCAGAGGTCTGGGACACCCAACACAGGAACCAGAGCCTCAGAGGCAGATTTATTTTTTACTAAATGAACAATTTGCTACAACAGGATGTGACCTGAATTCTACTTACACTTATGAGAGAGAAGCACATCAAAGGAATCAGCCCACCTCGTAGCTTCTTCTGTGGATAATCTCCTAGGAAAGAGGAAACATCTCTCTTGAGAATTTCTAGAATGATCTTCTCTCAGCTGCTACAGAGATTTGCTCAGGAGAACAATGGCAACTCTGATACTGTCCTTTGGGTGCATTCTTCAGTTATAGTTGGAAAAACTTCCAGGTGGGAATTCAGTGTACTGGCTTTCAGTCTAAACAGCAAAGCTAAGGAATTGCATGGTTTCAAGATGTCAAAATAACAGCAGGAACAAAGTGGTTCAGGAGTCTGAAAAGTTAGGCTCAGCTCATGATCCATCCCACTGATTGTTTTTTCCATCTCTGAAGCAGAGCTAACCATATCCCTCACGGAGCCGTGAGGGGGTGACACCAGGTCATGTCCGTGACATCACTGAATTCAGTGCCTGCACAGTATAGGTGCAGAATCCAGATTCTCTGAGTCTAAGCATATTTTTAGAGAATTTGAATGTTTATTGCCGAATTGAGAGCTCTGATTGACAACTGAGTAGAACCAAGAAGTGTCCTTCCCCACCCACAGCTCCACGAGTGATGGGTGATAGATAGGCTTTCTTGGGGGAAAGAGGGTTCCATTCTGACATCACCACTGAGCTATACATGCCCTACACCCACATTCAGCTGCCCAGAGGTGGGAATTTGTTATCCCAAGGCTTATCTGGTCAGCTACTAGAGAAGCGTTTCCACAGGTACCCCACAGTGGGTACCCGGGAATGCTGTATGGCCGGAAGACTCACTTGAGAGCACGGTTGGGCTTGTCGGGAAGAATCGCTGTGAAATCACTGCATGAATCTGACTTGTGAGACAGGCATCCCAGTCGCGTCCTCATCCCTTTGTTCCTGCAACACGCATGGGGGCAGAAAGACAAGACTGTCATCATCACAGCTGCCAGGCTGATGAAGGGTCCCCCAGAACAGCTGCTGCGAGAGTCAGCACTGCTCCCTCCCCCACGTGGCCCCTCAAAGCTAAAAAATAAATAAATAAAAATAAAACCAAGAAGAGGATGCCTAAAGCCTGGTGCAGTGACTCACACCTGTAATCCTAGCTACTCAGGAAGCCATGATCCAGAGGATTGAGGTTCAAAGCCAGCCCAGACAGAAAAGTCTATAAGGCTCTAACTCCAACATAATCAGCAAAAGGCTAGGCTGCACGCATGGCTCAAGTGGTAGTGCACCAGTCAAGCAAGCAAGCCGAGCAAGCAAGAAGCCTTGAGTTCAGACTGTAGTACCACCAAAACATGAGAACACTTAGGCAAGGAACAGGCTCACTCCTTCTCATGACTACTGAGAGTAGTGGGTACCCTACCCTACTCTTTCAAGAAGTTGACGGTAAGTCAATGAAGATCATTATGTAGGAAGAATTTCTAAATTAGGATTCTTTATGGGGAAACGTAATACAGTGGTGACAAAATAACAATCCACATTTTGCTTCCCCATCAGAAGGCAAAGGTCAAGTAGTAGCAGCAGCAGCAGCAGCAGCAGCAGCAGCAGCAGCAGCAGCTTCTAATTGCAAAGCCCTGGAAGTGAGGAATGCTTGCAGAGTTGAATGCAGGAGAGGCAGAACACAGGCAAGTGCAGGCCCTCAGGGAAGTCAGTTCCCATTGGTTTCTCCCCATTCATCCTTCCATTCAAATGACATCGACCAATGACTACAGACTAGCAAGGGCTAATGACTACAGGTGAAGAGAAGAGCCATGGATAGAACCCGCAATTAAGATCCAATAGTCCACGCCTGAGTGAACCCATGGGCTCACTCCTACCATGCTCTTATACTAGAGGCTGAGATAGGAAGATCATGGTTCAAAACCAGCCTGGGCAGGAAAATCTGTGAGACTCCATCACCAAAATAACTAGCAAAAAGTTAGGCTGGAGGCATGGCTCAGGTGATAGCATGCCAGCCTTGAGAAAAAAAAAAAAGCCAAGGGAAAATGAGAGGCCCTGAATTTAAGCCCCAATACTGGCACAAATACAAACCAATAACCCCTTATCCCTTCTTATGCTCTCTTAACTAAGCTCTTATACTCCTAGTCATATTTGAGGTCACTTCGACATCCATATATTTAAAATTTAAACGTATCAGTTTAAATTGCCCTTGTTTTAATTTCCAAAAGCCCTGCCTAATGACAGGACCCAGCGAAAAATCATACTAATAGCTCTTTCTGACTCCCAACCTCAGCCTCTCAGTTTCTCAGGGGCTGGCAAACCATAGCCCTGCCAGGCACCTCTTTGTGGACAGAAAGTTTTGGTGGAACATCACAGCACCATTTGTTCACATATTGTCTGATGCTGCTTTCCACTACAAAGGCGAAGTTAGACAGTTGCATCAAAAACCGTATGGCCTGCAAAGCTGAACACATTTACTCCCCAGCTCTCAACAGAATACATTTGCTGACCTCTGACCTGTAATCATGGAAACTGCTCATGTCAAGGGCAAAGGTAAGTAGGAAAGGTTTGAGATAATCAGACTGACTTATGAAAAGAGCTGCCACGAGCCTGGTGTTAACAACCTGTCATGGAAATGGTTCTTGCGGATGTCCTTCTCCATGTTGAAAGCAAGTCCTTACCACCTGGCTGTTTATTTCTTCTTCTTTTTCATAAATCCTGGGGCTAAGCAGAGACCTGAGAGGTCATGCAATTCAATCACTCCCTTGTACTTCAAATGACTTCCCATCTGTAACCCTGCAAATTGTCTTTGTTTGCAGAACTATTATTCAACGAACGACTAGTAGAGTGACATTGTATATGGGCAGGAATGGACAAAATTTATATTCCACAGCACATCTCTAAAGAGCCTTTCAAGATTGGACGATCCAAGCGTCCAGAAATATCCTGTCTTCTGCAGAAAATTGGCCCTCGGGTCCTGCTTCCACCTCACCTCTCAGCCAGGCTGTACTGGGAAGCCAGCTATTTCCTTGAGTTTCAAAACATTTGCTACAGCTATGCTCTCTCCCGAGGCAGCAAGCCTCCTCTGTGTCTACTCATTCCTGCAAATCACAGGGTGCCCAACACTGGGCCATGCGAGCAACCGATGAAACTGCACCTGAGTCATCACACCCCTTGGATCCAAGCAGAGGTCCTGCTCAGGCCACCCCACAGGCCAAAAACCCAACTTCCAGAGAGTTGATTCATTCCCCAGGGCCTTAGGATCATCCATCAGAAAAAGGATCAGGCCATTGACCCCAAAGAGCAATTAAGAGGACTCTCAAAAAATAGCAAATCTACACAAACTATGAAACAAGGCTTAGCAGGGGTCAGTGTAGAGGGTTCCACTTGCTACCAAGATAACTGTGATTCTCCCAGAGTTTGCGAAACTGTTTTTGGCTTCAATGAAATCCTTTTGTGGAGCAAAATGCTTTGTATTTTTTTCATCTTTCTAGCTTAGGCTTCAATTATAATTGTCTTAGGTCTGAAATAATAGAAGCAGAAGCAAGAGTCAAAGGTTAAGTTTACAGAAGGAAGAAAAGAAGGGAGGGAAAGAAGGAGGGGGAAGGAAGAGAATAGGAGTAGGAGGGAGGGAAGGAAGAAGGGAAGGAAAGAAGGAAGGAAGGAAGGAAGGAAGGAGGGAGGGAGGGAGGGAGGGAGGGAGGAAGGAAGGAAGAAAGGGAGGGAGGGAGGAAGGAAGGAAGGAAGGAAGGGAGGGAGGGAGGAAGGAAGGGAGGGAGGGAGGAAGAAAGGAAGGAAGGAGGAAGGAAGGAAGGAAGAAAGGAAGGAAGGAGGGAGGGTGGGAGGGAGGGAGGGAGGAAGGAAGGAAGGAAAGAAGGAAGGAAGGAAGGAAGGAGGGAGGGAGAGGGAGGAAGAAAGGAAGGAAGGAAGGAAGGAAGGAAGGAAGGAAGGAAGGAGGGAGGGAGAGGGAGGAAGAAAGGAAGGAAGGAAGGAAGGAAGGGAGGGAGGGAGGAAGGGAGGGAGGGAGGGAAGGCAAGGCAGACAGGCTTTTCCTCCCTGCCCTTTCTCCACAGCACCTGTCCCAGGAACACACAGAGGTCCTAAATGGCTCCATACAAGTTCATGCATGATTCCTCATCCACCCCATAAATCACCGCCCAGAGGTCCTGCCAAGTCTCTGGGAGATGACCGGGCTAAGGCAGGTCCCGCTTGCAAGGCCACAGCTTTGCAAGAAGCGCACAGGCAAGGACAACGCAGCCCATAGATGGCCTAGGCAGGCGAGCAGATGCAACTGGACCACCTCGGGGCTTCTCGGGCCAGACTCAAACAGCAAGGGTGATGGGAAGGGGAGAAAAGGGGAGGGGGCGGGGACAAGAAGACAGGTCATCAGTCCATTACCTGCGTGGCATCAGTAAGGCAGCCATACAGGCATCCGCTTACAGTTACCCCTTGGGCTGGTTTGCAGGGACGTCAGGGCAGGAAATAATACTGCGGGGATCAGGGATTTACCCTTTCACGTCCTCTCACCTAAAATCAAAGAATCTGCTGTAAGAGGGGCCACCCTCTCTCATCTGACTGCCTGATCCAGCTATCCTTCAAATGGCTCTGGACCCAAGGGGCACCTCCCCACACATGGACACCCCAGCCCCCATAAACATTCATTTGTCCTTCACAAGGACAACCAACCAAGAATGGACAAGAAGAAACTGTTGGGTGGCTTCACATCGCTGATGCCCAACCACTGGCCATCCGGAAAAATTAGGACGTGGGTCCTTGGGGAAGCCTGGGCCTGGCAAGCCACAAATTACTGTTCTCTTTCTCTTACTAGAGTGAGACCCAAGTGACCGGTCAAGGAGGGCTGAGGGAGGAGGGCCTGCTCCACAATCACTTGATTGGATGCTGGTTGGGTTGTCACCTCCCTCCAAGGGCATTTGTCCCAAGTGGTAGTGCATGAAGAATTAGAGGGTTGGGAATGGGAGGGAGGTTGGCTGTCAGACACTCTCACCCCACAGACTTTCTCCATTGCAGGCACAGGCTGCAAAATGAATATGCAAGCCACTGTTTCTTGACCATATGGAGCTTGCGTGACCTTCCTGAGCCTGGGGGAAATGGCCTATTCTTGACCCGAAGCCAGGAGGACGTGGGGGTGGGGAGGAGGGGATACTGAGGTTGAAGGCTGATTGACTTAATGGTGTCTCACTCTTGAAGGTCCCATTCTCAGTGCTTAGACCCATTGTTCTCCCAGTAGAGAACTGAGGAGAAGAAACACGTGAAGAGAGCGGCCTACCCATAAAGGGTTTCCCTGGGGAACTCTGACACCAAACATAGAAACCATTTGCAAAGAAACCTAATTTAGACAGCGCGGGCTCCTAGGCAAGGGACGCCATTGGGATTATTTTGGTATTTCCCTGAACATTTCACAAAGGCTTTTTTTTTAATTTTTTTTCCTTAAAAAATATTCTAATGAATCCAATAAAGGACAAAGATTTGCTTTTACTAAAAACTGAAGAGAAAAGAGAGGAAAAAAAAATAATTCTTATGGAAAGGCTCTCTCCCATGAATTACATTTCCTCCATCCTTGTCCTGACTTCAGTTCATACACCTGCTTGCCCAGGAGTTCAGAAATCAAAGCTCTTGACAGTCACAAACACCCCTAGAAATCATGGCTGGGGCACCTAAGCTTTATTTCCCCTTCTCTTTGGGATATGCCCCTGAGAAAGGGGGGGAAATCCCCTGCCAAGAGAGGGAAAAGCCTCTGCCAGGGGTGGCACTTATCCTGGAGAACCGGAAGCAAATATGCCACAGAGAACACAAGCAAGGTCATTCAGGGCTCCATCCCCGCCCTCTCATTCTTTCCAGTTCTACTGCCCTCCTGCTTTGGCTTCCAGTGCCACCAGGTGTCTGCCCGCCTCTCTCCCTCCTCCTCCCCTAGCACTGTTTAGCCTGCCCCTCCGATCCCACCACTGCCACTCCATTTAACGAGTCCAGTCTTGGACTCCACTAAAGGAAAGCCAGTGGGACACTGTGACCTGACCGCCAGTTCATGCCAGCTTTTTTGGTACTCTTATCCCATGTAACCCTAGACTTATGGGGGAATGGAGTAAGGGGTTTCCCCTTACCCCAGGAAGTTCAAAACTGTGGGGCACATACCCTTGTAAGTGAGCATCCACTCACAGATGACACAGGGGCATAATTTTGGGGGGGATGATATTTCAAGAAGAAAAAAAAACACTACGCTTAAAACAGCAAAAGGCAAAGATTTATAAAGAGAAGGAGGAAAGCTAAGAACCTCAGTGGGGAGAAAGCAATCAATATGCATGAAGAGGCAGGTTAATTAAATATGGATAATGCAAATCGGTGCACACAGACACCCCAGCGAGAAAGGAGAAAAGCAAAAACTATACTCACAGTCGTTGACCCGTCCTCATGGCCTGCAGGTCTTTGCCAAGTGGATGATCATAGAAGCTGCGGGTTAAGGAGCTCTGAGGAAAGAGTATATCTTTCTTTTAGCAGTGAAATCCTCAGCGGGTGAAGGGCATGTTTGCATGGGCACACTGGCGCTCTCTCTCTCTCTCTCTCTCTCTCTCTCTCTCTCTCTCTCTCTCACACACACACACACACACACACACACACACACAAACATGCATGCACAACACACCTCCCACCACTTGCACCAGGCAGCGAGCAGCCTGGCTGAAAGCTCTTCTCTCTGCTTGTCACATCCAGTAAATACTGAAGCAGCCTACACCCAGCAGGCGGTAACTCAGCTCCCGGGCACAGTCTGCCCGCCCATCCTCATTGGCAGGACCCAAGAGGTGCCCCTGAGCAGAGCTGACCTGGCATGCTTCCTGCACCTTCCTCCTCAGCCTCGCTAACCTGAAGCTCCTCTGGCTCCAGCTCAGGGAGAGAAGTCCCCACAGCCCACAGCTGCCTCTCCACACCCAGCGCAGAGTAGGTATTAACTCTTTCGGACCACCAATGAGCTGAAAACCAAGTGTCCAGGGCGCCCTCTTCTAATGAGATCTGTGCCGGCTGTGGGCTGATGGCCGCATAGGGAGCAGGGAGCATAAAGATCTTGCCCCAGACAGCTGCTGACAGCAGGATCCAAGCGGAATCAAATCTCCTAATGAGCCAGGAAGGGGGGGAGGGGGCTGTCTTACTGGGTGTGATGTGATGTGATAAATGCAGAGTGCAGGAAAGCTATGGGGCAGGTCACACATCTAAATTCCACCCCCCTTTCTCCCAATTTCTATTGTGCGGCACTACCAAGCCAAACCACACAGCCCTGAAATTAACCTCCCTCTCTCTCTGTGCCCCTTCTTGGCTGGCCCCTACTCTACAAGAGGCAGCCCATTTCCACTCTCCATCCCCCACCAGTGCCAAGCACACCACTCCCCACTTCTTAATGAGAAATTTCCACCTCCTCCGCCTCCCCAAACGTGCAGAATTCCAACCCTGTGCTGCTGCTGCCTCTCACCTGGTTTTTCCTCCAGCAGAAACTCACCTCTCTTTCTCATCCATCACCTAGCAACTTCCCCCTACTTGTATCTGTGATGGAGTGGGACTTTTCCCTTTGTTCTGCCCGATCATCCCTATTTTCTGTCTCTATTCCAGTTAAGCTCCCCAGTCTCTTTACCCACACGGAGCTCCACGCCGTCTTTTTCTCTGGCCCATAAAGAAGATTCTTTTCATGCTTGCCCTAAAACAGTGAGTCTTCCAAAGTGATGCATCCTCAGCATCACCTCGGAATGTATTGGCCATGCCAATCAATTCCAGGCCCCACCCAGGCCTATAGCATCAGAAACTCAGGATGGAGCCCAGTTGCCAGGAGATTTGATGCATACATACTAAAGTTTGCAACCTGCTTTGGGGTAAAGCTTGTCTTCCATTCACTGTCTCTAGACACCGGAGTCTCAAAGGCTGAGTCTCCATTTCTGCTCAGCAACTAGCTCCACAAACACTTGACCTTGGCTACAAGTTGTTTCTAAAACCTGTGTCTGCTACCTAGCAGACATTTCTGCAGAAAAGGGTGGCTTTATGATTAAAGTAATAGATTTCATTTGTTAAGCTTTTAAAATGTATAAAGCAAAGCCAGATGTGATGGCCCATCACCAAAGTCCAGCACTCAGGAGGCTGAGGCAGGAGGATCACAATTTCAAGGCCAACCTGAGCTACCCAGCCAGACTCTGTCTCAAGTGTAAACCATCTTGTATAAAGCCTTTCTACATATTGTCGGTCAACTATCCCCTGCCACAGTCCGAGAGGGTGTTGTTATTCCTAAGTTACAGACAAGAAAAAGGGCAGCTAGACATGATAAAAGATCTTCTTCAAAATAACACAGAACACAAGTGGCAGCACAAGGACCAGAATCGTGTCTAATGACGCTAATAAAAGTGCTTTCTCTACCATATCGTTCGGATCTTTCTGAGCAAAGAGTGGTGCATAACCTATATTTTGACGGTGAAACAGTTTTGCTGCAACTATTCATTGCCTGATTCTTGGGCAAAATAAAAATGCTAGTGCTCCCTCCACCGTGATTCATTGTCTCTCCTGATAATGTCCACAGTGCCCTTATCTCAGGCAATGCACACAAAATGAGATTCAAAAGGAAAGTTTTCCATTCATTGTAACTCATGTCTTAAACCCTGCTGCTAATCCAAATTAATTTAGAGCCTAAGCCAAAAGAGAACCTTTTACTTCTGGACCTTTTCCTGATACACTGTACCATAATGGAGGTAAGAGAGGAAAGTTCATTGGCAAACATTTCACTAATCCATGATGGATTTATAAGATGACCATATATTCATATAGGTGACTATATATATATATATATATGGTTAATGTTTAATGAGCATTTAGTATGTGCTAGACCACATGATCAACATTACACTTGAGTTATCTTATTTAATTCTCACCACAAACTGACAAGATCATCACCTTTATCAACCTCCTTTAGAGGTGAAAAAACAAAAGCAAAGACAAAACAAGTCATTGTCTCAAAGTGACAGAGCTGATGTCTGAACCCTCCCTCTAACACAAAAGTAGTAACATCATGGCACTCTTCAACCAGTGCTAAAATGGGGAGGTATCACTTCCTCCCAAGCCTCATGTTGCCAAATCTGCTGTCCAGGATAGAAAAGCCCGGAGGCTGGGGGAGAGGGCAGGGCTGCAGATGAGCCCCAGTCTCAAGTGGGAGCTGATCGATACTAACCAGGCATCAGAATCCCCAATTAGCTTTCAGAAAAATAATATAGTCACAGGAAGTCAATAAGTCAAATGCTTAAGAAAAGATAGATGAATAAAATCTTAAAGGAAGGAACGAGGGAAGAAAGAGCATGGGGCTGCTAGTGTGTGCCATGTGCATATATCACATGAGGAAAAGGGGAAAATTCAAACGACTTCAAACATGTTTACCCTAACACTCCTCAACAAGAAATAACCCCAAAGCTGCCCCCCCTCCCCCGCCCTTGTGAGAAGCACAGACCCAACACCAGTCCCATCCACTGGAGGATTCTAATGGAATCTTTCACAGGGAGAAAACCTCTAGGAGGGAGATGAAGCTAAACTCAAAGTAACACATTCTAGCTTGGTTTTCTCTGCTAAAGGAAGGAGTCAGAAGAAGGAAGGTAATCAGGTTTGGAGCATTGAGAGGTGGGGAGGGATAGCAGAAACTCATCCAACGTGGACTCGACATCCCTGGGCTGAGCCCTAGCCAGAAAACTCCAGTTCTGGATTCTTTTCTGGCTGGGCTCCTGACTTGCTGGCTGAAAATCTAGGTCTGGGATATCTTCACTGTCTGGCGATGATTCCTGGTTTCTTCCCCAGGAAAACTCTGATGACAAGCCATGCTCAGAAACCTGCCCTCACCACTGCCAACCACTGCCTGCTGAAAATCAGGGCTTTCGGTCCTGCTTCTTTCTTAGGGAGCATCTCAGGCTGCTCGTCCAGAGCTCTGCTGGACAGCTCCAGGAGCCTCAGGCGGGCAGCTCCAAAGTATCCTAAATCAACATCTCTCTCCCATGCCTGCAGAGCCCCTCCTTTCCTTCATGATGTCACTTTAGTCACTCGGGGTAACAAGTGCAGATATTTCTGGCTTATTTTTCTCCATTCTTCTTGACTTATGAATCCCAGCATTCTATTTCTGCAGTACTCTTTAACTTCATCCATGGGCATTGCCTGTCAAAGGTTGTTCATCCTGCAGCACAGCGCCTGTCCTCCCCCTTGAGTGATGGATCCCCTGCTCCATCCCTCCACCCCACCCCCACCTGCCTGCAAGCCTTTTACCACATGATTGCAATGGCAGCCACCCACTGAATAGACACCATAAAATAGATCGTCTGTGTAATCATCTCTGATGGGCTCTGTTGCAGCTCCTTGCATTGTCTGACTATCAGCTGGTCCCATTTATGTATCCAACTTCATAGTCCAATGCTCATTCTCCCCCTCCCATATCCTCTCTTCCTGTCTCTCTCTCTCTTCCTCTCTCTCCCTCTCTCTGCCTGCCTCCCTCTCTCTCTCTTTCTCTCTCATACACACACACACACACACACACACACACACACACACACACCTGATTCCTTCTACTTATAATGTCCTCTATCCTAAGTCTACCAGCTCCTTTTCCAAACCCACTACTTCCCAGCTAAAAATTCTCCTTCCCAGGCTTTATCAGAACACCTTCCATCTTCAATCCAAAGGCTCCTTCCCAGTATCACCACCTTGCTGTATGATTCTGACAGCCTACATCTCAGTCTTAGTTGGTCCTTCTGATTTGGGGTTTCTGATCCTCCAAACTGATTATCCTTCCTAAAAGACAGACCTTGTGACTTATCTGCTTGCTATCAATTCTCCTTGCCTCATATGGAGCAGGTGTTTAATATGTTGAGTGAATTTAATTTTGAGTTCACAAAAACAAAGATACCAAGCATATAGCAGAAACTCCATATAGCAGAAAAACACATTAGACATCCACAGTCTCCTGATCAGGATGGAAGTGGACTGAATGCTAAGGGATTTCCTGGTGAGCCAGACAGGTACAGAGGGCTTCTAGAAACTATCACAACAGCCCAACCAGTACAGAAGGGAATTAATCAGGAGCAAAAGAAGTACCTGGCATCACTACACAGGCCATGAACACGTAATTAAATTGAAGATAAAAGGAATTAAATCCTCAATATAATACTTTAAAAAGCCATGATAGTAGAAGAGGTGGTTTATTGCCAAATACCTCCTGTGTATTTATAACATCAACATACCACCTAGGATAGCACCCCATTAAAAGCTTTTAATAAAACGGTCATTTGTGATATTAGATTGGAATTCTGGTCAGCATGTTCAAGCTCCTCCACAAATCTTTTAAAAGCAATTTCCACTTTGTAGCTTCCTAGTAACAGTAGAAACATGAATCAACATACACTGCATTGATTTGGGGTTTCCATGGAGACTGGAAGGACACAGGGAAGGGCAGGACAGAAAGAGGCCACTTGGCCCAAAATTCTACTTTAAAAAAATGCATCTCACTGTCATTCCTCTGAGCATTAGCAGCCTCATTTCCTGTTCATCAGTTCAAGCATTCAGATATTTAATTTGTAATAACCCTCCTAAGGAACATCAGAGGGGCAGGGAGAAAGGTCAGGAGCTAGCGCAGGAGACCCATGAGGTTTGAAAGAAAACCAGAGACGCTCAGGATTTGGAATCTGAAAAAAAAAAAGGTCTT